GATCCACCCTATTACATTTTTCTTGCACAGTTGTAATCAGCCTCCCCGAAACCCTTATTTTTAATATTTATTTCATAGTGCGACTGTCCATTATTATTTGTAAATACGATACATGACACAGTTATTTGGGACCGCTTCTGCCCAATGAAGCCCACTGTTGTTTTTGGCAATGATCCGTGAATGTTTAGGGGATGAAATGGACCAAACCTTTTCTGTCTGTTCTTCCTAATCATTCTAGGTGACACAATTATGACCCGACATGAATAAATTTTACATGAGGAAGGCGATCTGGCCAAAGAATAAGCATGTCTGTTTTGATAGAGATCGGTTAATATTTTGCGGGTCGAATGGACCATGGCTTTTATGTGAAAAATGGAAAAAATATTGCGAATAAGTGAATGATAATTCGCAATATTTTTTCCATTTTTCCATTAGACCCCAGAAGTTTATATTATATCTAAGAGCAGTGGCTGACCATTGAATTGATACCCATTATAGTAATGTATGTTCTCGGATGTGCGGGTTATACGTAAATATTTAAATGTGTCTATGTGCTATGATATTGTTTAGTATAAGCCCCCTAGGGGACGGGCTGATCGCTTTGAAATTTTACATGAAGATCCGGTCAAGGAAGACGCCTATAATTTTCGTTGATGTTGAGGTGACATTAAAGGGCTGATGATGATCTGTCAATATTCCGTGGGTCAAATCAACCAATCAACCTCTGATAGTCCTTTAAAAAATTTTTATAAAATCTACGATTATACAATATTTATCTTTATTGGTATTGTTGTTAAATTGCGCTCAAGTTTCAACCGAATTGTCTGTAATTTGATATTTCAGGTTCTCATAGAGTGTTGCATTTTCTTATCAAATACGATCAGTATAGGTTCACGATTTGGAAAAGCTCTCATATAACAGTAACTCTACATTTTCGGATTTTCCCTCCGATTTGACCGTAATTTGGTATAAAGGGCTCTTGAAGGCTAACATACATATGTATATATTTTGACATATATGGGGACTACATAAATGTCACGTTTAATTGTCCTTATGTTGATGTTCCCTCCCCAGTCTTCTAACCTGAATGTCTGTTATTTGGAACATTATTTTTTTTAAAGTGCATAAACCATTTACTTCTACGTCACGCAATAACATAGTCCACATATAAAGCTCTAGACCGATTTAAGCCATTTTTATAGCACACCTCGGGATGGAGGTGTGCCGGAATTAACCACGCTGTGTTGCTTGTTTAAAATATTTATTTTGTTTTTATTATATTATATATTTTACGGCGGAATTTTTTATTGACATTATTTAGCCAAATAACATTTCTTAAATATATCACATTTTAAATATTTTTTATACTTCTTAAAAGTAGTTTTTATACCCTACACAACTATGTTGTCAGGGCTTTGTGCAGCCCCAAAAGTTTGTAACGCCGCGAAATATTGGTTCTAGACCCACCTTTAAGTATACCGATCGTCATATCTCGACTAACTGAGTCGATCTAGACATGTGTGTCCGTCCGTCCGTCCGTCTGTCCATTATAATTTGTAAACACGATACAGGCCACAGTTATGGACCAATCTTCACGAAATTTTGCATGTAGGATAGGTTCTGGCCAATGAAGACCCCTATTGTTTTTGGAAAAGATCGGTTAATATTTAGGGGATGAAATGGACCAAAAACTTTATTTTTGTCTGTTTTTCTGGTCGCTCCAGAGGCCGCAATTATGGCCCAAACACCGCAAATTTTTGCATGGAGAAGGGGATCGGACCAGAAAATAAGCATGCATGTTTTGATAAAGATCTGTTATTATTTAGCGGGTCAAATGGACCCCGACTTTTGTGTGAAAAATTACAAAATTTGTATTCCATGGCGTATATGTTTACTCCTGACGGACATAGTCCCGAGAAGTTGATAGTATATCCAAGAGGAGTGGTTGACCTTTAAATTGATACCAATTATATTGTCGTATGTACTCGGATGTGGGAGATACACTTAAATATTTACAGGTGCTTACGTATTGATATAGTATTCATTAGCCCATTACCACATTAGAGTGCTGAAATATAACACTGATCGCTTTTAAATTTTCCATGAGGATTCCGGTATGGTCAACTACTACGGCTATAATTTTCGGCGATGATCAGATACTAATTTTGGGATGAATTAGACCGAAAACTTAAATTTTTGGTGTTTTTTAGTCGAATTGAAAGCCGAACATCACAACCCAACTCACCGTGAAGGGAATCTGTGGTTAATATTAGTAATATTTGTTGACCTCTAGCCTGTCAAGAGGGTGTAAATATCGCGAAATATTTCCAAGATCAGGATATAGAACCCCAGAATGTTAGATTTTCGTGGAAGTTGTGTAGGGTATCATATGGTCGGCCTCGTCCGACTATACTGCTCCGCTCACTGGTTAAAGACTGGTTTTTATACCCTACACAACTATGTTGTCAGGGTATTATAGCTTTGTGCAGCCCCAAAAGTTTGTAACGCCGCGAAATATTGGTCCTAGACCCACCTTTAAGTATACCGATCGTTATATCTCGACTAGCTGAGTCGATCTAGACATGTGTGTCCGTCCGTCTCTCCATTATAATTTGTAAACACGATACAGGCCACAGTTATGGACCAATCTTCACGAAATTTTGCATGTAGGATGGGTTCTGGCCAATGAAGACCCCTATTGTGTTTGGGAAAGATCGATTAATATTTAGGGGATGAAATGGACCAAATACTAAATTTTTGTCGGTTTTTCTGGTCGCTCCAGAGGCCGCAGTTATGGTCCGAACATCGTGAAATTTTCCATGGAGAAGGGGATCAGGCTAAAGAATAAGCATGCCTGTTTTCATAAAGATCGGTCAATATTTAGTGGGTCAAATGGACCCTGACTTTTGTGTGAAAAATGACAAAATTTGTATTCTATAGCGTATATATTTACCCCTGAATGACATATACCCGAGAAGTTGATATTATGTCCAAGAGGAGTGGTTGACCTTTAAATTAAGACCAATTATATTGTTGTATGTGCTCGGATGTGGGAGTTACACCTAAATATTTACATGTATCTCCGTATTCGTATATTATTTAGTAACCCATTATCACTCTGCAGAGCGGAACTATAGCGCTGATCGCTTTGAAATGTTCCATGAGGTTCCAGTTATGGTCAAGGACAACGCCTATAATTTTCGGTGATGATCAGATAATAATTTTGGATTGAAGTGAACCGAAAACTTAATTTTTTATGTTATTTTCGAGTCGATCTATAGACCTCAAATGAAAGCCGAACATCACAACACAACCCACGGTGAAGGGAATATGGACAATAGATGTACTGAATGCACGTAATATTCGGAAAATATGTCAGTGTGAGGAAGAGGTGCTGTTTAACTCTAATCGGGCAAAAGGGTGCAAATATCACGAAATATTGCCCAGTCTCGGAATAAACATCCGCAGAAAATTTGAGTTCCGTGGTAGTTGTGTATTGTATCGTATGGTCGGCCCCGTCCGACTATACTGCTCCGCTCACTGGTTTATTTTGTTTTTTTTTCGAAGTTGGATTTTTTCTAATATGTTTGTTTCATAGTTTTTTTAAGACTTGCATTCCATTGCCATATAATTTAAGCGAAACAGTCTTGAGTCAAGTTTTAATTTATAAGATGTTAGTTTTGTTTAATTTCAAACCTATTTTTCACCATGGTATTATTTATTAATTCCACATTATCGACGAATCGACGTATATACATAAAAACCATTCAACATTTTTCGTCACTTGCTTGTCTTCGAAAAAACCCTATCAACAAAATATAACACAAAACTCCTCAAAATTATCTATTATCTATAAATCACTGACTCATTACTGATAGTTCATTCTGTCGAATAAATATACTGCAGTACAACAAAACATGAAATTATAAATAAATAATAATTACTTGTTCAAGTACATCGCCACGATCAATTGCGTCAAAGCCACAGACAGCAACCATCATCAAAGTTAACAAAAAATAACAACAAAAATGTTTTAACTTTAAACTCGACAACAACAAGAAAATGACGAAAAGAAAAAACAATTCCATAATATACTACACTATCATTTTCCGAATAATAATAGTAACAACAACACGAACAGAATGTCTGATGTCACAACAAATGCGTCGTTTGACAATCAAATAATCAAACCAGTATCACCAAACAACAAAAACCTGTCAAATAACCTGGTAATAACATTGGTTGATATTCATTTTTTTCGAATGTGGCCTCTGCGAAAACTACGGGTAGTTCTACTCATACTTTGGCAAAAAGAAAAAATCCAACGAACGAACTCCCAACCGAATGAGTTTGGCAGCCATTTCGGACGTTCGAAAAAAGTGTTAACTGAACCTTTGGTTGTTCGGTTTGTGATAACAAAATCTAAGATATCCCCATAAGATAACAGACAAAAAAAATCGGCAAAAACCGAACGAACGTTGCCGTTGTTATCAGTAGAAAAAATGTGGCGAAAAAACAAAATATTTTCAAACAAAAATTGTATTTTTCTACGATTTGTGAAAAATTCTGCGGGACCCCATACAAAAAACCTCGAAGGAGGTGAAGGTGGGGTGGCTCTCCATAGTATAGAATGACGTAACGCCTGTAGATGAGAATTCGGCTAAAAAAAAATGTATCGACGATATCGCGTCCGTGTTGTTTTATTTTTCGAAGGTACACATAGGTTGGTTGATAGCATTCGGCAGTTAGCAATCGAAATTAGTCAGATATTTGCATTGAACGTGATAAGTTGGGGTAAAAAGAAAATTATATATTTAAGTTCATTTTATTTATTGGTAGGAAAATAAGGTATTTCGTATTCCATTTTCAGTGATAATTATTTTCTAATTTCTTTTTTTTCTTTTATTTCCTTTTCCAGATTAATTTATTGCTGAAAAAATCCACTGGTGCCCCATAACGATAACTCGAATCAGTTGGAGGCTTTCTTTATTTGAACGGATAATAGCCGATTTCAAACTCGACCCTCAATAATACAAATAGAGAGCGAAAGACCTGCAACACACACACACACAAACAAAATGACGAGTTCAACAACAACGACAAGACGACCTCATATATGGTCTTTGGCATTATGCAGCATTTTGCTGGCATCTGTGGCCAGGGCCACACCCGATTCCACAGCCACATCCTCTGCTCCCCACAGCAGCAGCAGCACAGACCATTATAAGGCTGATCAAAACTATCTCTGCCCCGAAGACTGCCACTGTGTCTTGGCTCACAACACACACAAACCACTTCTGCATGCCAAATGTTCCTCGCTCAAGGGTCTGAGATCAGATCAGCCACTAACCGCCACTCTGCCCGTACATTCCATTGATTTGTCGTTCCTCAATCTGACTCGCCTCTCACACTCTTTGGAAAAGCTTCACGACATCACCTCCATCGATTTGTCCCACAATGATCTGCATGAAATTGGCCATCTGGGTCGTCGCATCAAGAAACTTAATCTTAAGCACAATCGAATCACCTCCGCCAAGTTGGCCAAGATGCCACAACATTTGCAAACGTTGAACTTGCAACACAATGACATTACCAACTTGCCTTTGGAATTCACCCATTTGACCCACCTGCAATCCTTGGAGCTCAGTCACAATCCCATTAACTGTTCCTGTGAAACATTGGAGGTCCGTAACTGGTTGCAGGAACGTCATGTCTTTATGGAACATCCAGTCACCTGTGCCTATCCTGCGCTCTACAAAAACCGTCCCTGGTTGCAAGTCAAACAGTCGGTAGTATGTGAACAAGAGAAGAAAGGATGGTTACCCGAGGAGGATGAAAATGAATTGATGATGGGCGATCAACCAATTGAGGGTTCGGGTGATGATTATGCTGAGGAAGAAGAATTGGGCAAGGATTATATGCCACTTGAATCAAAAACCACCACACCCAAAAATCCCAACATTGGCCTCTTCGATGAACTTGAGGGTTCTGGAGATTTAAGTGAAGTTGCTGTACCCTTGGATATGTTGATGTCATCCACCACCACTGAACAACCCCATGAACAACATGAAGAAATTAAGGAACACGAAGAACCCGAAGCCACAACAGATTTCCCCGAAGAATTGCAAGAAGAAGATGAAGAAGATGGTTCCGGTAGTGGTGGTGGTATTCTCTTCATTCCGCCCTTGCCCAAGGAAAGCATTATCCCCGACGATTTCGATGTGCCCGCCTCAGAGGAAAATGAGGAAGACGAAGACAATCAACCAATTGAGGAACCCATTATTACTCCCGATATCTTCAAGGAACACTTGGGTATCTTTGATGGTGATGAGAACAGAGCATCCTCCACCCAAGCCCCTGACTCCGTGCCCGCCGAAAAAGATCAAAGCGAAGAGGAAGTTATCAAGGCCGAACATGTACCCTCATTGGCCGCTGACTTACCTGCCGAAACAGCTGGCCAAGAACCCAGCACCGAAGGTCCCGAAGCTGATGTTGCCCAGGCCAAGGTTGGTGAACCCGACGACAGCAAGGCCACTTATTTGTTGTGGGGTGTTATTACCTTCATTGTCCTCGGTCTTATTCTGTTTGTGGCAATTAAACAGTGCAAGAACCGCAGTCGCAACCGCAATGATGCTGAAAATCCTCAAACCGAATTGGTGGCAATGGACAAGAAACAGCTGGGCAAACCATTGCGTAATGGTGTTCCCGAGCATGTGCCATTGATTGGAGAGAAAACAAAATCCGATATGGCTAAACCCATTAACGGTTCCAAACCCTATGACAATGGTGATGTTAAAGATGGCCCTGGTCAACAACAGCCCTTGTTAAATGGCAACGGTAATGCTGGTACGGAGGCTCAAGATGAACCCGTTTCACGACCCGACTCACAATTACAGGCACCCCATGAATATTATCCCATTTCACCGCGTTATCCCACCCCTCAGTCACCACGTGCCTCCAAATATAATCAACAAAATGCCGAACCCAATAACAATGACCCCGACGCCTATTTGCCATCATCACCAAAATCCGGCAGATACTCACCAGTATATTCGCCCGTGACGGGCCGCGTTAAGATTAAGTTGAGCGAAACACCCCGGCCCAAGACACCAATGTTGGTGACACGTAGCCGCTCAAATGCTGGCGATATAATTACCACACCACTCAGGCCTGCCAATCAACCAATGCAGAGTTTCCAAGCGCCCGAACCAGTGCATACGGCTGCGACAAATGGTCATGCTGGAGGAGAACATCACTGATGGTGAGCATAAAATAGCGAGAGGTTTCAAAAAACAAATACACACACAAACAATTATACATAGAAGAAGGATGTTTTTTAAGAATTAGAAAAAATAATTTTTCGTAACGAAAAATCATATCGAAGAAGAAGGAGACAGAGAAAAAAGAGAGAGTGAGAGAGAGAAGTATATATTTTAGAGAACGAGATAAATTGATAAGTATGTCCAGAGATAACGTTTTAATCAGTTCCAAGTGATAAAGTGAAAGTAGTGTCTTAAAAGCTAAATTAAGGAAAATAAACAAAAATCTGAAAGTTTTTCTACAAAAAGTTTTCAAGTGTTTTATCTTAATTCTACGTTAAATGGAAATTTCCTAAACAAAAGTCTCAAATAAAAAACTAAACTACTCAGATATTCAACTGAATAGAATATTATATTACAGTCAATAATGTCTACAAATATAGGTACGTCCTTTAGCAACCCTGAATGCTATTGGAAAGTTTGGCTGAAACATCAGATGTATAGGTACAAGTTATGGACCCAAAATAAATCTTCGCCGAATTTTTTCAATGAGATTTTTGAAGTTACTGGATAATACTAAATTGCTGACATCTTTAAAAAAAATTTCATAAAATCTCTAAATTCTCCAAAATTTTGCCAATTATGGAATATCGATTAATTTCGTTAGGGAGACTTTCCACTCAATGATAACATACCATATCAAATTAACATGTCCAAATTACTTGTCCAAATTTTAGGGGACCGTTATATGGGGTGTTTCAACCGAATGTAGGGGACCATTATATAGGGGGTTTCAACCGAAGTGCCAGTAATTTTGCATTCCGAGTTCTTAGAGGTTGAGAAATAATAGTGCGATAATAGTGCGAATATCGTTTCATGCTATGGCATTGCTTCCATTAAAAGTGCCGTCCCATTTTGGGTACTTTGACGGTCCTATGCACATTTTCCAATCGAAGTTTCTGTACTTTGGTCTTCTGGTTTGTTGATGGGAAAATAACTTCTTCGCAGAAACTTTTCCATATAACGTAACCGACAATTTTTTGCATAAATTGGTATTAGGGGTTTCCCTCTATAAAGGTCCCGTCCATTGTCGGTATTATGAAGTTGTTAGTCCCATTTTTCCACAAAGTTGCTTTAATATTGTTTTTCGTGCTCTTGTAGGGCAAAAACGATTTTTCAGAAATTGTGTAATGTAGGTTCATATGTTATATGTTATATATATATTATATGTTATATATTCCTTTAATTTTCCTTTCCTTCCTACCAAAAGGACTGTATTTCGTTTTCTCAGAGGATAAACAAATTTCTTGAGTTTTCCGAGTAAAGGAAACGCCTTGAGAGCTCAGTATATGTATAGGTATATAGGAGGTGGTGGTATCCTCATTATTCCCCCCTTGCCTAGGGAACACTTTACCACCGATGATTTCGAGGTTCCCACATCAGAGGAAAACGAACACGTAGATAATCAATCCATCGAAGAATGCTTTATTACATCCGACACCTTAGATGGTAAACTACAATATGCTTCGTCTTTGGGCGAAATAAATGAGCTTGGCCAAGGACGAACACCTATTGAAAATAATGAAAATGGGTTCGGAATTAGATATAGCTAGTATTTCGTTTTCTCAAAGGATAAACAAATTTCTTGAGTTTTCCAAGTAAGGAAAATCCTTGAGGGTTCAGTATATGTATGAGGTGGTGGTATCCTCTTTATTCCACCATTGCCCAAGTAACACATTATCACCGATGATTTCGAGGTTCCCACATCAGAGGAAAACGAAGACGTAGATAATCAATCCATCGAAGAATGCTTTATTACATCCGACACCTTAGATGGTAAACTACAATATGGTTCGTCTTCGGGCGAAATAAATGAGCTTGCCCAAGGACGAACACCTATTGAAAATAATGAAAATTGGTTCGGAATTAGATATAGCTCCATTAAATATTTTCGTGCGTTTTTAGCCCTTCACCACACTGTGGTACAGGGTATTATGTTTCTACCGGCAAAAGAAAACGGGATAGACACAGGGTTCCTTTTGAGAATATCCATAGAATCGCATTCTGAGTCGATTTATGCATGTCGATTATGTATTGTAAACAAAGTACAAATTGGATGAAATTTGACACAGCTAATTTATTTGGCCCAAGGACGGACCCTATTGAAATTGAGAAAAATCGGTTCCGATTAAGATATAGCTCTCAAATATATTTTCGCCCGATTTAACATCTTTCGATTTGCACGAAATTTGGCATAGCGTATTGAATGGGGTCTAGAATGATGTGTGTTAAGTTTCGTAAAAATCGAATCAGATTTAGCTCTTATATATATTTTCGTCCGATTTAATGTAAATGATTCACCAAAATGTCTATATATCTTTCGATTTGCACGAAATTTGGCATAGCATACTGAATTGATTCTAGAATGATGTGTGTTAAGTTTCGTGAAAATCGGTTGCGATTCAGATATAGCTCCCATATATATTTTCGCCCGATTTAGTGTAAATAATGTACCAAAGTCCCCAAATATCATTCGATTTGCACGAAATTTGGCATAGCATACTGAATTGAGTCTAGCATGATGTGTGTTGAGTTTGGTGAAAATCGGTTGAGATTAAGATATAGCTCCTATATATATCTTCGTCCCATTTAATGTAAATAATGTACCAAAGTCCCCAAATATCATTCGATTTGCACGAAATTTGGCACAGCGTACCGAATTGAATCTATAATGATGTGTGTTAAGTTTCGTGAAAATCGGTTCAGATTAAGATATAGCTCCTATATATCTTCGTCCGATTTAATGTAAAAGATGTACCAAAACCCCTAAATATCATTCGATTTGCACGAAATTTGGCATAGTGTACTGAATTGGGTATAGAACGATGGGTGTTAAGTTTCGTGAAAATCGGTACAGGTTTAGATATATATCCCATACGTCTTTTCTTCCGATTTTATGTAAATTGTGCACTAAAGACCCAAAGATTATCCGATTGACACACAATTTTGCACAATGTACTGAAGTTAATGTAAATTAATCTCTGGTAGGTATTGTTGAAATCGTTTCAGATTTAGATATAGCTCCCACATATATTAGGTTGGGGATTAAAGGGTTTCGATTGAAGATTTTGGGTACTCATCGAAAACCCAAAAATTTTATTATTAAAAAATGAAATATATTTTTATTAAATACATTTTGTTATTTCGTTTTTTCCAGATAAAAACTATTACAATAACTTAAAACTACAACTATATCCCCCACAACCCTGTAAAACACCACCGAAGCAGAGAAGGCGAGATAGAGAGAGAGAGCGTGAGCAATCAAGCAACAAATGTCCCATCCCTGCAGCTGGAACTATCTACTAAACTATTCTTCATTCTCCATTATTTCTCATTTCCTTCGATGTACTGCTACTAACTTTGCATGGATTTTATGAGAAATTTAAAAAAAAGGCTATCATCTTCGAGAGTAAAACTTTAAGAAATCTTAACCCGTTTTTTTTTCAAAACTACATAAATGATGGGTGCTCTAATGGCCCTGGCTTCTTTGCTCCTGACTTAAAAGAGGAAGATTTTTAAGTTTATGTTATTTTCTTTCTTTCTTTCTTTCTTTCTTTCTTTACTTTTCTTTTTTGTTTTTTGTCATTTTTATTATTATTGTAATTATTAATTTTGTGATGATTTATGTTAAGCTAAACCATAAAAGAAAAAAAAACAACAAACAAAAATATAATATTTTTTTGTATTTATTCTTTATATTTAAGTACATAAAAAAATAAAATCAATTTTTTTCTAGAAAAACAAAACCAACAACAATTTATTTAGTCTTTTTTGTTTTAAGTCTTTACACATAAAGGAACCAAGGGGTGGAAGAGAGTAGGAATTTAAAAACTAAGAGATAAGCTTGATATGAACTCTCAATTCGGTCTTGTAAACGGTAATGGTGAAAATGGAAGGGTATCTTTTTCTCAAAAAACAAAAAAAAAACGAAATATACGAACCTACCTACGGACCAACTAACCCAATAGTAACGAAAGTGTGCCAAACTAAAAACATAGAGTGCCTTAACCTCAAAAATTTTATAAAAAATATTTACATCTAACACTTCCATAGAAAAAAATGCACATTTTGAAAATCAACTAAACTTCTTGTAATAAATTAAATTGTTTTTGTAACTACATTAAATATCACGCACATAAATATAAACTAAATGAAATCTATGATTTTTTTTCAATCAACTAAATAAATTAACAAAAAAAAGTTCCCTAAAACGTCAATGTAAATTTCTTTTGTTATAAGTCAAGATTTGTGATAGGAAACTAATAAAGAAAATATCATGTAATTATTAAAATAAAATACAAACAATTCTAAACTATTAAAAATAAGTAAGATTGTATTTTTTTAAATATATAATAAAAACTACTTTATATAAACTCATAAATATATCTAAAAACAAAAAAAAACACCAACTCCTTAAAGGATAAATATATCTATAAAATAACATAATTTCTTTAATAAGTTTTATTTTTAATAAATTAATAATAATTTTAATAATGCTTCATTTTTTGTTTTAAATATATTTTTTTAGTAAATTCTAGTTTAATACCAAAGTTTTTTTTTTTATTAAATAATATTACTTTTGTATTTTTCCTGTTTTTTCTCTTTAATAATTTTTTTCGTACAGTTTTTTTTTCTTTGTTTTGTAATTAAATATTTAAATATAAACTATTTTTTATTCATATACATAAATACATACTCTTATAGTTGTGTAATAAACTAGGTATGAGTTTTAATTTAATAAAAGCAAATTAAATAGTTGTGTATTTTTTATTTGTAATTATAAGCTGCCTAAATATTTTATTTCAATTTTTCTTATTATTAAACTAATTATAAAATGTTTATTTGTTTTAAGATCCTTCTTTAATAATAAATATTGTGTTATTAATAAAAATAAATAAAATAAATTTTAATTTCAAAAACCTTAAAAAATTAATTATTGTTTCAATAGGAAAGGAAATAAAGTAGTAAAGCCGGACTGGGCCGACTAAATGATACCCTTCACCACTTTGGGCATATTCTACATATGTATCCTAAAAAACGTTGCCTTTTCGAAGGAACATTGTGATCTTCATCTATCTCTACACCGACTAACATCAATCCCTACACATGCAACCTATGCAAAATTTTGTAAATCGATTTAAAGAAAATTTGACACACTCTATTCGGTATTCTGCACTGTTTAAAATCTAATCTCAATCAAATCAAATCTCAAAATGTATATATATATATATATATATTTAATCGCCTTCTATGTATCTTTATATAGGAGGTGTATGATTTTCACGAAACTTTGCACACATTATTCTAGACTTAATTTATTACCCTATGACAATATATATGGGTGCTAAAATCAAAAAATTTTCACGAAACTTTGCACACATTATTCTAGACTTAATTTATTACCTATACAAAATCGCAAATCAAAGATGAAACAATATATGGATGAAACAATATACATAAATCTGAACCGATTTTAAAGAAACTTAGCAAACGTCATTCTAGACCTAATTGAGTACGCTATACCGAAATTCGTGCAAATCGAAGGATTTTCAGGGACTTGGGTGCACCATTTACCTAAAATCGGGCAATACTATATATGGGAGCTATATCTAACTCTGAACCGATTTTCACGAAATTTAGCACACGTCATTGTAGACGTAATTCAGAACGTTATGCTAAAATTCGTGCAAATCAAACGATTTTATGGGACTTTGGTGCACCATTTACCTAAAATTCTGACAATACTATATATGGGAGCTATATCTAACTCTGAACCGATTTTCACGAAATTTAGCACACATCAGGGTGCACAGTCCTTGGGCCAAACAAATGGGCTGTGACAAATTTCATCCAATTCGGATCATAAATGCGACCTGTACTTTGTTCACAAAGATACATGGACGGACGAACGAACGGACAGACGGACATGCATAAATTGACTCAGAAAGTGATTCTATGCATATTTACGAAAAGCACACATCATGTAGATGTTATTCTACGCTATGCCAAAATTCGTTTTGCCTGTTACAAACATATGCACAAAGACATTATACCCTGTACCACAGTGTGGTGAAGGGTATAAAAATATGTTTTTATATAAATATATCGAGGTGTTGCAAACGCAGTGACAAATTTAACATACACTACACCTTATTGTGGAGAATATAAACACTTAATTTCCCGTATTCTGGCCTCAATGCGATTGCAGTGGAAAATATGTGGTGATTATTATAAACAATTAAAAATTATAAAAAATTATACACAATTAATTAAATCCCCTTTAAGGGGACCCCCCATTCTCAGGGTCAAAATTTTTTTATTTAATTCGAATCTACACTGATTCAAGAGTGAATCTCAAGAACTCTTGAAGATATAGCCGATTTATTGTGTCAGCATCAAGTGACGGCTAGAGGGCTTCTCAACCTTTAAACGCGTTTTTCTCTTTTGCGAATGGCGGGCACGATAACTCAAAAACGAATAACCCAATCGATTCCAAATTTTTACACGTTTCTCTGTGAGTGTATTGCTATCGTATGAACTAGGATAAAGCCAATCGGTGAAGATCTTCCTTATTTTTTAACTTGGTTTTTGGTAAAAATCGGCGATTTTCCAAAAATAGTTTTTCAAAGGTCCGCCATTTTGTTAATTTTAGAGCGAAATCAATAATCCTAGTTAATACGAGAGACAGACATGTGCTCTTTCTAACACCGTTGGAATTTTCGGATTCCGAAGTTCCAGTGAGGAGTTATCATGCCCGCCATCAAAAATAAGGACTTTTCTTTGATCGCAAAAACAACAACAAACAGTTTTTGTAAATTATTTTTCTTATCTTTTAAATCTTCAAATATGTATGTGCAAAGTTACAAACCTTAACAAGCATTGGTATTGATTTACCAGCCCAATGAAAACCTTGAAAAATTAAAATCGCGAATGGGGGAGTTCCCTTAAATAGAATTATGGGTGACATTTATCGTAAAAGTGTAACGTAGATATTGGATGTTATGGTGGAAAAAAGAGTTTGGTAAACTAGATGCCGGTTTTTTGCTTATAGCGCCATCTACACTTCATGTAATTCAAAAGTTGGTTCTCTCTATTTCAACATCTTTACTCTTAGTTAGGTAGGAACTTTGTGCCATCTTTATTTTATTATTCCTATACATGTTGGGTTGTTGTCGTGGATAATAATTTTAAACATAGAAACAAGTGGAATAAACATAGCAAATAATATTCTCGAGTTAGTTGTAACGTAACGTACAGTATTGCATGCGAACAGAAAATCGTACATTCTAAATATTTGTGGTCTGTTCCAGTACTTTTTTTAATGGTAAAGCTAGTAAAAGGGAAACATTTCAAAATCGCTCTCAGATACAAAATAATTTGAAAAGTTCGGGAACGCAAATCTAGTAAATATGCCAACATTATATGGCAATACTTCAAAATCAACATAACAGCCAATCAGAAGTAGGCATTCCTGTTCACCATTTTTACTCGTTCAAATTTCTCGAGTAATTGTGTTCTCTTAAATTTGGTTCAAAGTTTTACTAGTTTTGTGGGTTGAGGAACGGTTATCGAGTAAAAAGTAGCAAAACTTGTAAAATTAGTAGATTCTTTTAGGTTCTGGAACCGAACTTGTGTTGGACATTTTGCAAATTTCAACAATTTTTATAACCAAAAAATAATAATAATAATAATAATAAATGAAATAAAAAAGACTTACATGAATCTGAATTTGTAATTATTCCAATAAAAAAATTAAGTAGTGTTGGCGGGTTATGTGGGATACCATTTGAATTTTGTACAAGAAACATTTTGTCTACGAAAGGTTTTTTGTAAAAAAGCTATAAATAGCTTCTGGTGAGAATATCCGAACAAAAAACTAAAGGAACTGATGAGGTTTAGTGGCAAATCCAAAAAAAATTGGATATCAACAAAGGCTTGACCTATAGAATTTTTTTCTTTTCTGGAATCCACAAATGAATATTTTGCACCCCCAACATAAAATGTTTTTGAACTGCGTAATAAAATTTCAAGAATGCGTTCCGGCTGATTTTAACAAAATTTAATTATTTTTTCTTTAATTATTATTTCTATATCTTAAATTTTATTACTATTAAATTGTTCAAAAAATCATTTATTATAAACATTAGCGAACTTATATAAACTAAAACAGAAAATACTAATTAATTAAATGACTAAAATAAAGTCTCTCGCATTGGTCGATGTACAACGACTATGGGTTCATCTTCGGATGTATCACCGGCAGCAGCAGCTGCAGCCGCTGTAAAATTACCACTTGCTCTTCGGCTTGACGAATTCTTTAATTTCTTTCTTCTCGAATTTATTAAATTTTGATCGGCATTTGAATCTGTAGAAGTGTTACCATCCTTCAGTGATACAATATCTGGTTCAATGATTACATGAAAATCACTACCCTCTGGAGAATCTTTTTTCAACACTTTGGGTGAGTCGCCAAAATAATCCTCCACCGCAGGGGTGAGTGGTGGCCCTGGTGCCATAGTCTTTTTCGGTTTACGTTGTGCAAATGGACTACTCGGTTTACTTGGTATATCATACTCGGGATCTGTTAAGAATTCAACACTATCCGATCGTAGATTTGCTCTCTTGAATGGTGGTATTTCGGCAATTTTCGGCTTCCGCTTGGTGTATGGACTATTCTCATAACTTTGGAAATTGCCAATTCTTTCAGCACTTTGTAGATTTTGTGATTTCATATGGGCCGGGGGGAAACGTGAATCCAACATGGCGGGTAAATGTGTACCGGATGGATTGTAGGTAATGTGTCCTGTACGTCGCGTTGGGTCAATTTGTTGAACACGCTCTTTATCACGATTCGATAACATTTCTTCACTACGAAAACGTGTACGATAGTCAAGATGAATATCTGGTTCAACTTCAGATATTTCCTCTTCAGGATTTGTGCGAGATTTCTTGAAACGACTTCTCCGACCCGGTGCATCTGAGGTTAGATCAACCATTGATTTGACAGGACGCACTGGTTTGGGCATACGTATGGCATCTTCATAAGATGGCAGGAGATTAACCTCAAGGTTACTTGCCGCTGCAACATTGGGCCGGGGATCTTCATCCAATATACGGCGATTTAGTTCACGTCTAAAAAATGTATACAATTTATTAAAAAAAAACTTTACCTTAAAATTATTGATTACTTACATGGCCCTCATTTCCTCATGATTCCTACGATACTCCTCACGATCAACTTGTTTTCTACGCCAGGCCATGTATTTTTGGAAGCATGTAAATAGGCCAATCAAACCCCCAATGGCCAGTATACTTAACATAATGGTCGACCACACCTTTTCCGCCCGACTTGTATGTTCATCGGGTACCCAACTCTTTTCACAGGCAGCCGCCCATGTTTTGCCATAACTGCTTGGTGGTGAGGCACACCGCAAACTGTTACGATCTTTTATCTGAGAAAAGTATGGGATATTGAAGGAAATTTTATATATTTTTAAATAAAATGTGAAATAGTTACCCTGGTTGGTACTGATGTTAGGAAATCATGAAAATCAACAAATGTCCTCTCCTCACAATTACAAATCCATGGATTGTCTCCAGCATAGATTTCATCCAAGTATTTATTTGAATCGAAATACGATCGTGGAAAGGGATTGGTAAAACGATTTCCATTCAACTTCAATTGAGCCAATTCGGGAAAGTTTTGGAAGGTAGTATTACGCAGAGTGGATAATCTGTAAAATTAAGTTAATTATTCGATTATCAATCAAAAACTTCGTATTATATGTGTGGTATTAATATTTTTGGTGTCAGCCGCCTGCCGTGTGTTTCATAAACCACTTTTAGGGGTTTAGCCAAAACTGATACAAATTATGCAAATAACGTAGATGCACATGTCAAATTCACGTAATCGGCTTGAATTATCAGGAGAATGAAATGGTAGACAATATGGTAGAAGAAGTGAGAAATGTTATTGTCCCGATTATGCCAAGAAACAAGTAGGCCTTTGGGCCATAATGAATGGGAAATACTGAAACAAGCATCAACCAACCTTTATCTTTTAATTCATCGGAAGCCACGAAGAGGATTGGGTATTCAACAGAGAAAACAACTGCTAAACATCCGAAGAAGAGCTACCCCTCAACTGGTACGTTGTGCGAGCCGCGTCAATATTGAGTGGAAAAATACCGCCATAGAAGCCATTAACAGAGGGCAATCAAGATGGTTCGTATATGAAGAAGACGAACGTAGCATTGTAATGTCTCTAAAGCCTGAGGATTCTAACTAAAACCTCCTGACTATGACATAAGTCAAAGGTACTGACTTCTGCAATGTTCAATAACAACAAATAAAAACGTTGTTAGTACGGTCGATCCCGAACCTTTATAAATGGCGGGCTACCGTAAATTATAGTAGGACAAGTAAAAAGTTTCAGTCGGTGTTGCAGACTAATATGTACCCTCGGCTTAGGTTTATATCAAAGAGGTTTCGGATCAAAAATTCCAGGCGCGTCGGTCTTTTGCTTATGGTTCATTCGACGACGGTATTCACCGTCAACGCAGATCGGCCCATAGATCATTCGGAGAATTTTTCTCCCAAAACACTCCAAGAGCTGCCTCATCTGTTTGTGTAAGAATCCAGGCTTCAGATCCGTATAACAGCACGGGTAGTATCAGCGTCTTGTTGAGTGTGAGTTTGTTTTGGCGGGAGGTGGTCTTGTTTCTAAACTCCTTACTTAGGCCACAGTAGCATCTGTCAGAAGAAGTGGAACAATGGGTGCAATATTCAGACTTGATCCAGTTTTGGTATATATAATAGGTTGTGCAAAGGTTGGTCTAAATCGGCTTTTTCCTGATATTGAATTTATATACATTGAAAATTTTGACCCTTTGAGGGGGAGGTACCTCAAGAAGTTGACTAATAAGACCCATATTGGGAATGAATTTATAAATATTGAAAAGTGTTTACTCTTTGTGGGGGAGATACCAGAAGGAGTTGACCAATGGCTCCCATCTTCGGGCTTGACCTAGGCATGGTAAAGATAATAGGTTGTGCAAAGGTTGGTTCAAATCGAACATTCCTTTTTTCTAATATTGAAAAATTTGACACTTTGCGGGTGAGGTACCCCAAGGAGTGGACCAATTAGACCCGTATTAGGACTGAATTTATAAATATTGGAAATTGTTAACCCTTTATGGGAAGAAGTTGAACAATGGTTGCCATATTCAGGCTTGATCTAGGCTTGGCAAAGATAATAGGATGTGCAAAGGTTAGTTCAAATCGGACATTCCTGTCTCCTAATATTGAAAAATGTTATCCTTCGAGGGCGAGGTACCTCAAGGAGTGAGCCAATTAGTCCCATATTTGGACTTGATCTACGCTTGGTAAATATAAAAAATGTTGTAAAAAGTTTGGTTCAAATCGGATAATCCGTTCGCATGATATTATAAAAAAATTGTTCAATTTTGTGTGAGAGGTACCAGAAGGTGTGTACCGATATTCCCCAATTTCGAACTTAAAAATAAGTTTGGAAGAAATATTACGAAGTGAAAAGTTTTAATGAAATAGGTTAATTCCTTCGAGAGTTATCGTGCCCACCAGCTGGTCAGACAGACGGAAGGACCGGATTTGCAAATCGATTCCAAATTGTCTGAAACGGATTTGGTCCAAAGAAACATGGGATCTAAAACCAATATTTCGATGCATCATATTTCTGCCGTATCAAAGTGTTTATACCCTCACTAGCCATAAGGTTGTGCGTCCGTCAATTTTTTCCCAGTACAATTATTTACTTCGTAAGACCATTAAAAAATCTAGAATTGCAAATTAAAATCTAATATCCGGATAACTTACCTGCAATAACTTAAATCCAATTTCTGCAAAGTATTCGATGCCATACCCGTGGGAAAATCACTTATTAAATTATTTGATAAATCCAAACGGATGATATTCGACAAACCGGAAAAAGCATTACCATCGATTAGAATAATTTCACACCACGACAGATTAATGTCACGCAGAGAATTCGATACCAGTTTGGTGAACTTCTCAATAACATTATGATTCAAATTCAAAGTTATCAGATTATCATTGGCCTTGAATACGTTCCGATCGAGGCGTGCAATTTCATTGTATGACAAATCCAGTGACGTTAGTTTCTTGAGCTTTTGAAATGTTTCAGCTTCGAGGAGACGTAAAGAATTCCGCGATAAATTCACCACTTCCAATAGAGTATTGTTTTCAAAGGTGCGACTAGTTAGGGAGCGTATCATATTACCACGCAATTGTAATTGGGTTAGACTCGGCAGGGCAGATAAATCAATTTCATCGATACTGCAATAGGAAAGATCGAGTTCGGCAAGATTGGGAGCCTCCAAACGATTGGTCGAATCTACTTGTAAGGCGGTATTCCATGGTAGCCTGAGGGCAACAAGTGACGGCAATCCTTGGAGTAGAGATCGTGGTATGCGCTGCAGATTACAATTCTTCATTTCCAAAATCCGAAGAGATTTAGATGGCATTTGGCCCATGCCATTTAGGGGATTACTATTTAAATTCAGTCTTTGTAAATTTGGCAAGTTCTGCATTAAAACATCGCCACCAGCTTTGGTTATGCCACAATTTTCCAGCTCCAAGGTTATCAACGACTCGCTAACGAGGGTGTGCTCAGGATTATCAGAGTTGAAGGTGGACAATTGATTACCACTGAGAATCAAATGTTGCAAATTAATGGCATGTGTAAACGAAGTACTGGGATTTAAGTCGGACCATTTGTGTATACTGTTATTGGCCAATATCAAAGTCCTTAACGAATCAAATCCCAATAAGGCATCATTTTCTAAATATTCAATTTGATTATTTGACAAGTCCAAATAAATCAACGAATCATAATCGGCCAATTGCCGGGGAAAATCAATAAAATAATTTCCCGATAAGACGACATGTTGCATTGGCATCATTTGAAAATCGGGATAATCGATGAGACCACGATTGGCACAATTCACCTCTAAGCTATCCAATACCCAGGAACATTTACAATTTGTGGGACAATATATGGCATTGGTGAGCGGTAGGCTTATGGCTATAATGAGCACACAAAATGGCCAGCTGAATAATTTCCATCGAGACATTTTCGTTCGTCTGTGTGTGTGGGTGGGAAGGTAATTTACTGAAAAGAAAATATAAAAAAACGGAATTAATTTTTTTCTATGCGGAAATGTCTGCTAAGGTATAAACGAACCGATATAGAGAATGGTGATTCACATTGTGGTCAGAGTCTTAAAGTGTAATCAAGTGGTTCTCTTTTTTATAATTGCCGAACATTATCTGATTGGAATATACATTGTATTTCGTTGCTTTCGTTATGAACACCTAATAAATATTGCTTCTTCTTCTTTCGGTATCGATATAAACATTTTTTTGTGTATTCAGTAGATACAACAAGTTGTATATTGCGTTTTTCTATGGATATTATCTATAAAATTTGTATGTGTGGTTATTATCTGTTATTGACCTTGCGAAATGTAGACATAATTTTTTGACAAAAAAATTAATAAATAAAGTAAATGGAAAAAATGAATACAACGTAAAATCAGTATTAGAAAATTAAAATTATAACTGATATGTAATTAAAAACAGAAAATGTTTACAACAATAACTTGTTGGCCTTCTCTGAATTTTAAGAGTGTCCGATAATTTCGTGAGTAATATATATATATATATATACTTATATATTTTGTACCAAATTGGGGAAAAAGAAATTACAAAGGATCATTAAAAAATTATTGAAGACATCCGTCAACATGTGGACTGTGAGTAATTTAATTTTAATCGGTTTGGTCCTCATTTATATGCATATATATATATATATATATATAATATATGGAATATATGTTTATATCAGAATGGGCTTAAATCAAATTTGACACATCTTCTTTTGTACCAAATTTCGAATCGATCGGACCGATGTAACGACTTTAATACGCGATTTTAATGAAATCGGACAAATTTATATATGGGAGTCATATCAGAATCTGAACCAATTTAACTTCACTCCATACGACTGACCCTCTAAGTTTTGAACGACCGTTAAAAAAAAACATTCTAATAGTGGATTCATACATATTACAAATTTTGGCCCTTTGTGGGAGAGGTACCAGAAGGAGTAGACCGATTAGTCTCATCTTCTAACTAGGTCTAGGTTTTATTAACAGATTAGGTTGTGCAAAGTGTGGTTCAATTTGGACATTCCATTCGCCTAATATTGGATTTATAAATATTGTAAATGTTGACCATTTGTGGGGGAGTTACCAGAAGGATTGGACCAATGTGTTTCATCTTCCTACTTGATGAGAATAATAGGTTGAACAAAGTTTCGTTAAAATCGAATAGTCCGTTTGCATGTTAATTTAAAATTAAAAAGGAGTGGACCTATATTTCCCATCTTCGATGTGCAAAGTTTAGAGGAAATCGATTATTCCCTTCGAGAGTTATCGTGCGCACAAGCCAGACGGACAACGGACGGAAATGTGTAAATCGACTCCAAATTTTCTGAAACGGATTTGGTTGAAAGAAACATGGGTTCTATAACCAATATTTCGATGCGGCACATTTTCACCATATCAAAGTGTATAAAAATGGGCCGATTCCTTTATGTGGGGCTACATTAAAACATTGATCAATATAGATAATGTTCCGCAAACATGTGTTGTACCCTCCAATATGGGAAAATGCGTTACTGTTATATGGGGGTTATTACAATATTCTGTATATATGTATGCCAGCCTTCAAGAACCCTTTATACCAAATAAAAGACACATCGGTGTAAAAATGCGTCTAACACGTTTAGAACAACGAAAATTGCTCGGTACCGTTATATGGCAGCTATAATATAACATAAGCCTATAACGTTATTTTTGGTAGGAAGATTCCACAGCTCATGAAATCCGGAACAATCAAATTAGAAGAAATTCTGCCGAAAAACCAAAATACCAAAAATTCGGTGGTTACCTGGAACTCGGGCCAATATTTTAGAGAGATTTTCAAATTTCAAAATACAGATCGCAATTATGATATAAATTTGTCACAGCTCATTTATTTAATTTAATTTCATCTTTATTTACTTTGTAATTGAATACAAATTACAATTTAATGGCCAATTTATATATAATTACAAAGAATC